ACAACCAAGATATCAGACAGTCCTACTTCATAAAAAAGACAGTACATAACACATGTTCACAGGTCTTGTATTTTACAAAAGAAAGAGCCCAATATACAGGAGCAACATTTTTTTCCTGAAGAATAAACAGAATAAAAAGGCTCTAAAACAGACAAGCAGTTAAAACAGAAAAGTGGTCATTTCCTGATGAAATTATATTTTCTACAGTGTTTACAATATTTAATTTATAAATTAAATTATTTAATTTATTTAATCACATTTACTTGAAGCTCATCCACACACAGAATCACAGAATGGGTAAGGTTGGAAGGGATGAGATTGGGTCACTTGGTCCAACCTCCCTGCTCAAGCAGTGCTCTCCTGGAGCACATGGCACAGAATTACATCCAGACAATTCTTGATTATTTCCTGTGAAGGAGACTCCACAACCTCTCTGGGCAATCTGTTCCAGCATGTGGTCATCTGCACAGTAAAGAAGTTCTTCCTCATGTTCAGGTGGAACTTCCTGTGCATCAGTTTCTGTCTGTTGCCTCTTGTCCATTGCTTGGTACCACCGAGAAGAGCCTGGCTCCATCCCGTTGACACCCTCCCTCCAGACACTTGTATACATTAACGAGGGCCTCCCTCAGTTGTCTCTTCTCAAGGCTGAACAGGCTCAACTATCTCAGCCTCTCATTTTAAGAGAGATGTTCCAGTCCCTTAATGATCTTTGTTGCCCTCCACTGGATCTGCTCCAGGAGCTGCATGCCTCTCTTGTACTGAGGAGCCCAGAACTGGAAACTGCACTCCAGATGAGGCCTCTCTAGGGCTGAGTAAAGTTTTTCAAAGGTGATGATCATATTTGTATATCTTGATTCTTCGATGCTGAAACTGAAATGCCTTAGAAAGGCTTGATTTTTAGACTACATGTGCAGAGGATTTTCAGAGGATTTTCAGAGTAAAATTCTGTGCCAGCCACATTTGGAGAGCATTTTGTTGCTGAACAGTGCCTCTCCATTTCCATCTATCACAACTGTTAATTGTCCCACTTGAAGGAAATCACCACCAGTAGTTTCCCTTTTTGCCTGAAGGCTCAAGGAGTTCATGACTGTAGGCGTTTCCAGATCCTAGGATTCTCTGAGCTTCTTAAGCATCTTTCAATAAAAGCAGACATCTTTGCCTTTCAGAGATGGGCAAGGTGAGACTTAGCAAAGACAAATCCAAAATCCTAATGCTGAGTTACAATGCGACTAGATCACAGTTATTCCCATGTAATTCATCTTGGGCAAATTCAAATCAAAGGAAAATTAGGTTGCTAAGTATAATCACTGAGCTTGTGACCTCTGTAAATCTCGGTATCTCCGTATGTGAAAGGGCAGTAACTGAACGTAAAACCAACTTCAGAAAAATTAAGAGGTTAAGTGAAACTATCTGGCAGGTACTGCAAACAACAAAGCAGTCAGGCCTGGCACACATTCGACATTTTACTGATTTAAGTATTTCTTATGAAAAAAAATCTCAATCATATTTCTAAGAAACAAATTTATACCAGCAGAAATCCTTATCTTGACTATTGATCTAGCAAAGTACCCTTTGGTCAGTTTATACTACTATGTTCAATGTACACTCTATCACCAAAGCCTCCAAAAATGTAAGCTGCAGCTCCACTAGGAAGTCTGTCAGTGTATTTCTATCAATGTGGCTTTAATAGCAAACTCTTTTAATACAGATGAGCTTAGAGAAGAGAGAATAGGTTTGATAACTATTTAAGCTAGCAGAACATTGCACCAGGACCCTGAGCTTCAGCTTCCAACAACATGATATTTAGTGACTCTGGAGTGGTTTTCAATTTACTGCCATTCAATTTACTTCTATTAAACATAGTCGATAGCACCAAGTCTTCTGCTTACCTGGGTGAGCAGTAGGATATTATCTGTATGAAACATATGCCACACATAAGATTTTACGGAAAAGACAATTTGATAATGGGAAATATTTCTTCCGTAACTGAATTTTAAATTACTCCCAATGTTACTATTTGTATTTTGTGCATTCTTTACCAGTCCTACTTAGGAATTGTATTAGGTATTGTAAAAAAACACCACAAAACAACAACACTTTTTTCCTGTACATATTGCTTTTAATTTAATTAAGTTTTCATAAAATCAGTATTGAAAAGCCCCACGAAATTTCATTTTAATCTCTATATGGAAGACCATGTTCCTCAAATCTTACCGATAAGCTATAAAAGCAAGGAACAGCAATATGTAAGACCGAGACAGAAGTTAGATATGTTTAAAAAAAAAGTTAAAAAAGTGAGGGAAAAAGTAACTAGTGAACCAGACATCCAGCAGAAACAGATATTTCAAGTACAGTAATGTTATTTACTACTAAATAAAAATAAATAAATAAATGCTGTAACATAACCTAAACCCAGAAGAAAGCACTATTGGTGACTATGTAAGCACAACCATCATTTATAGTCTCTCCAGGTTCAGATAACTGAATACCTAGAGGCAGCAAATCAAACTGTAGACAGGTCAGTGCAAGAAAATGGACAACAAGCCAAAGGTAAAATGAGAATAAAATCATGGTGATTCAGAAAACCCAGTTTTATTAGGTCTTAACAAGTCATCTGCTTTTGAAGAAAAATACTAAATTTGTGAAATAGATATTGTACTTACTTTCTAGCTCAAAGACACTGGTTTTGTGTGGAAAGAATTCATTTATAGAAAGTACGTAGAAGGAAATGACAAAAAAATAGCAGGAAAGGATGCCATTCAGGGGAACCTAGACAAGACTGAGAACTGGATCCAGGAAAATCTAATGAGGTCCAACAAGTTCAAGCACAAGGTGCTGCACCTGGGTTGGGCTAATCCCAGACATGAGTAGAGACTGAGAGCAGCCCTGCCAAAAGGCCTGCAGCCCAGAAAGTCAGCCATATCCTGGGCTGCATGAAAAACAGTGTGGTCAGCAGGTCAAGGGAGATTCTGTCCCTCTACTCTGCTATGGTGAGATTCCATGTGGAGTACTGCATCCAGCTCTGGGGTCCTCAGCACAAGACAGATGTGGTCAGCCGGTCAAGGGAGATTCTGTCCCTCTACTCTGCTATGGTGAGATTCCATGTGGAGTACTGCATCCAGCTCTGGGGTCCTCAGCACAAGACAGATGTGGTCAGCCGGTCAAGGGAGATTCTGTCCCTCTACTCTGCTATGGTGAGATTCCATGTGGAGTACTGCATCCAGCTCTGGGGTCCTCAGCACAAGACAGATGTGGACAGAGCAGGTCCAGAAGAAGGCCATAAAGATGCTCAGAGGGCTGGAGCACCTTTTGTACAATGAAAGGCTGAGAGAATTGGGTTTGTTTCAACCTGGAGAAAAAAAGGTTCCAGGGAGACCTTATAGCAGCCTTTTGTACCTAAAGGGTACCTACAAAAAGAGGGAGAGTGACTTTTTACATAGGCAGATAGTGATAGGACAAGGGGGAACAGTTTTAAACGAGAAGAGAAGAGACTTAGATTAAATGTTGTGAGAAATTTCTTTATTCAAGAGTGTAGTGAGGCACTGGAACAGGTTGCCCAGGTAAGTTGTGCATACATGTTCCAGTCCAGGTTGGATGGGGCTCTGAGCAAACAGGTCTAAGGGGTGGCACACCTGCCTGTGGCAGGGGGGTTGGAACTAGATGATCTTCAACGTCACTCTCCAACCCAAAACATACCATGGTTCTATGAAATACAACATATCATGCTGATGTGTTAATCTAAAGAAGTTTCTGACCCTTCTTTTGTTAGAATAATTTTTTTTGGCAAATTGCATTGCCTGACAGACTTTTCAGAAAGATGTGTGGAAATTATCATGACTCAACGACTCAGAAAACAATACTTTGGGGACACAGAAATTAAAATTACTACAATAATTAACACCTTCTTAAACCATTCACATAATGTTATTTGGATATATAGCATGTATCCTCCTCATCCTGTATACTCAAACAGCCACTGTCTGTTTCTTAACATAATTTCAGGTAATTTATATTTACAACACAGAAGTGAAATATCTCTTAAGCAAGTCTCAATGGCCACGTTTCCTGCAGAATTATTCTTATTTCTTCACTTTTTTTTTTTGCACTGTGCACAGTATGTTGCTGCAATTATCGGAAAGCAAAGATAAACCAAAAAGGTGTTATTTGGTTTATTTAACTGTACCTGCTCATAGAAAGGATTGTGAGCAACGTAGTAATTGGAGTCAAAGGATTCTTCTGTTACCAGAACTCTCTGCCTCTCACCAACCTGGAAAAGAGAAGACAAGAGAGATGACTCAGAAAGCAAAAATAATGATTTACACTGAGAACGGCAACTACAAGCAAACACTCTTAGCAGAAATAATCAGATTCTCCAAGGAAGTTCAGAGTCAGCAAGAAAGTAGAGCAGGGAAAGCCCTACTCAAAAATGTCTAAACCAGACAGGGTTAAAAGTCAGAATTGAGGGCTAGAACTGTGGTGCTGTAATGGCTTAACATGAAAATCCAGTTCAAAAATATAAACTGATTTTAACTTATTAACAGGATAACAAATCAAAATGTCGGACGTGCAGAGAGCCTGTTACATCTTCATCCCACTAATGAAAAAATTCTGCTATCAATCACCAAAATGGTATCTTTTCTTGTTATTTACAATGATAAGACATCTCTATCCCTTCCTGGTGATCTCATTAAGTTGTACTCATGAGATCACACCAATTTTCATGACAGTGAAGCCAACCCTGCATATTACAAAGATTCAGTGAAGAAGAGATTTTAACAGCTCACAGTCAAAGCAATAGTAAAGACCACAGAAACTCTGGGCTAAAAAGTCTAGTGTTTCAATTTTACCTCCCAGCTTCCAAATGCACTAACATAGTTTAAAGGAAGTACCAGTTTTACACCTAGTTGAGTGGAAGATGCCAAGACAAATCAGCTGCATTTAGGGGCCAAGTACATATGAAACAAAATCTTACTTTCCCCAAAGTTCAAAATCCCCTACACAACACCTGTAGATTTTTATCCATTACTGTGTTGCATAATGAAGCTTATAGCCTAATTTCTGCAAACCTTGGAGTACATTTAGCTCACATTTTTAGTCTGAGCCCATCTCTATTCTTTCCATCTAAAGTGCCCTGGATTATTTCCAAACTATTTGACAAATGCATTCTGCAAATTACAACTGTCTAGCAAGTTAAATTTACTCGCTGCTTTTATTACTATTTTGAGACTCAAAAAGGTTTCACATTTTACTCCAAAGTTTTAGCATCTGTGAGCAAAGTTATATTCAAGACCCAGCCCCCTCCCTGAAAGACTTCTACCACATCCCAGTGGCAGCTGTTACATAGAAGTTTTAAGGCCTCCATCAACAGATCCATGTGAATTAGTAACAAGATGCAGATAGATAATAATGTTTTGATTCTTTAAGGTACAAGCAGTGAAAGCAAAAGATAAGATTAGGATTTTCTCTAACAGTCAATGGCAGAAAATAGGAAAAAATAAAAACAGTAATATCACATCTACATTACAGTATACATATACACTGTATATATGCATATATATACACACATGAAACGTACATAATTATCTACTCCCTAAACAGAAAGACTTCATAGAATAACTCCTGCCTTCCTTTCCATGTGCAGCTATCTGGAATATTCCCAAAGTAACTCTTAGAGGGCAAGTGAGACAGTGAGCATGCAGCTCATTTCCCCAAAGGCAATTAGAGGTCATTTCCCTGGACCACAAGTGTGGGGTACACAGCAGAAGGCAGAAAATCCCTGAGTTCCAGACCCAGAACAGAATCCTAATAGTAGAAAAGATGTATATTTTTGCATACTTTAAAGAAGTGTTTAAGAGTTGTTTATAGCACATTTACAATTTCCATTCACGTTTCTCTGAGAAGTCTGCAATTACACAGAACAACAAATCCAACATACTCAAAGTTTAGCAAAAATTCATTGTAACCAACAGTGAGTTTTTAATAATTTTCAAGAAAACAGTTATTCATTTCAAATCCCAAGGAGTTTTGCAAAATATGTCAATAAACCACTCAAGTTAACTACTCCAGTAATAGGATTACAGAGAATATTTCCCCTAAACTGAGACGGTTTGTTACTCCTATAATATTTGAGACTATGGCTCTTAGAAATTACAACTCAGTATCTGCTGTAGCACTAAAGTGCTAAAGTCTCAGATGTCATGCAATATTATGATAAAGAGGAGGACAAAATGCTAGAAAAGCAGTATTTGCCCTTGGGGAAACTTGCTACCACTGAAAAGCACCAAGGCCGTTGACCAAGCCATGTCCTCACATACAATTCCTTGTTTACAGGCACCGAAACGTAGCGAAACCGACTCGAAGCAATACTGGGTCTGTAACTCATTTCACAATTGTCTTGTGGTTCCCTGTGTCTCTCTGGTCACAACCTTCTGCCTTCATTGTCGCTATGAATCCAGCCTTGAGGCAGACTAAGCTACATGTGTTATCTTCATACTCTCAGATGACAGAATGTATGCAAAAAAGAAGAAAATCAGAGGGAAGAAGGAAAGAACACCTGTGTTAGATCATTTGATAAAAGCTGTGGTTTCTTCAGAGACATGTTGCCAGTTCTTCTCATCTTTGCTTCCATGAGCAAAAAGAGCTCAGGTCTCCATGTCTCAGTGGGACAGACAGAGCTTCTGGGCTCAGAGTTTCTTGGGAGTGGAAGGAAATCAGGAAGACTAAATTCATCACAAAGAATCAAAACTGAGGAATTGAAATTGAGCAACAGAAATGCAGAGAAGCCAAACAGCCTCTACCAAGTTACAATACATGCATATAGTCAGACACAGACACACATTCTCAAGGCTAAAATGGCACACTGTAAGGAATGCAGGTAAACCCAGTAATTGTTCACTTGCTGAAGTTACTGGATTTGTAGCCTTGGCCAAGGCTGAGCTCACAGAGAGATACAACACTCAGCTATATGCAGACTCTTTTGCCATAACAACAGAAAAGGAAAATTCCATTTAATGAGTTACTCCATTGCGTATTCATGATCTACAAGACTAATTGGCTACATGCATTTGTAAGACAGAAAATGACTATCTATCCTGCATCCAAGTATAATTAAGAAGAAATGTAAGTACGCAGAATGCAGCTTTGGTATTGAAATTTGTTCAAGAAGTGGAATATGTCATAATTTCTGCAATTATTCCCCTGGGATCTCTAAGTGCCTAAGTTTCACCTCTCTCAGAATTTAAATATGCAGAAACCAGACATGATATCTAATAACAGTCATATTATAATAACCTTTGATGATTTTTTTTTTTTTCAGGCATGTACCAGCAGAAGTAGTTCAATATCTTATTTTTATTCCTGTTCTTTAATCTGCTTCCACAGGTATGCACGAGTTCCAGCTCTCAGGGAACTACAATTCTGCCAAAGCATCTGGAACTGAGGAAACTCAGCCCTGGCATCTCAATTTGGAAAGGTTTCCTATAGAAACATTATTTTTTTCCTTTCTGGACGACAGCATGAAAATACTTATGAATGATAGCAAAATAAACTTGACTGGCAAACTCTTCCATCTCAAGGTGGACAGGTCCCATCATTTACACAAGGACAATTTGTTCTCACCAAACACAAGCAACAAGTGCTGCTGGTCCTATTGCTTCCTCCACTGCAACAGTTACTAGGAAGTTTGTTAATCTCAGGGTTGGTAATCAAAGCATTTATCCTACAGGAAATTCTGACATGACAATTCTTAAACTCAGTTTTTCCTTTACCGGAAACCATGAAAAGCAGTTTTTCCAGCTGGCTGATTTTATAAAATGAATGAACAGTCAGAAACTTCCAAAATCCTTCTTGACTGCAGTCAAATTAGGTTTCTTTTTTAAACCAAAACTGACCAAATGACATAAAATACAAGACTGATTTTTAAACTCTACAATAGTTTGAGTGCAAAGGACTGTCCCTTTTTACATGCTTTGATAGAATATTGCTAGTAACACCAACAGTGGCCTGCTGTAATTATACTCAGATAATGTATACCCCTATTTTTTTTTCAGTCAATGAAAATATAATTGTACCAGTTTTGATTTATTACTTATTACTGACAGAGCATGTGGCACATGATCTTTCTCACCGTTTCCTTATCATTCTTTTATCTCAATTTTGTTAGCTTTGTTTGAAGAGCCTCTGTTTGGCTAAAAATTAATATCCACTGTATTTCTATACTTCTTCCAAAGAAGAAAGCACACAGTACATGCAGCATCTGCATTGATTTAAAGCCAGTTGCCAAAGCCTCCTTCAGGTTGAGTTCAATTCATAGTGGAATTGGTGAGCATTTCTCCATATGGCTGCCTGGGATTCTGAACCCAATCATCATGGAACATACTTAGTACAAGGCTTAGCAGCCACTTAGAAACCTGTATTTGTTACTTAAATACACCATAAAGCACGCAATAAAAAATAACACTATCACAATTTGTGTGTGGATATTTTAGCAAATTATTCTGATGCATCGAATATTTCTGGTAAACATGCATATTTTGACCTCTATAAAGTATAAGTATAGCAAAGTTTAAGCAAAAGTAATTTAGAAAGTGTTCATTCTACATCAGTTCTGGTGCACTTCTCTCCTGATTTTTCAGTTGCGATCTAATTATTTTAAATAAATTTTAATGATTATGCTGATGATGTGTTCTTCCTTAGAAAGCAGAGAAGAACTGCTGGACCTATGTTTTATGAATCATGTGAACCCTTCTGTAAGTAGAAGCCTAATTTCTTGCAAATTATAATTAAGCATTCTCTAAGTCTTCTATTTATACATTGTGGGGGTTTCCTCCTCCTGACAGAGAAGTCTAAGTGTGCCACAACCTCCCTGCAACAAAGACAAAGTTTGTAGAAACTTACTACATGGTCCTGTTTTGACGATACCAGAACACATCTCATTTCAAACTCTCCTTTGTACTGCTTTGTCCTACTATTCATCACTGCTCCTCCAAAATTCAGGGTGTATACATACCTCCCTCCCTTTCTGAAGGTGGTGCTGGAGACAAAGAATGGACTCGTCTCAAGAGCTTTTCTACAAAGTTGTTACGACTTTAAATGTGGAGATTGGAAAGCAGTAACATCAAAATAGTTTAGCTCCTGAGCATGACAATTTTTATGCCAGGATAAAAATACTTTTCTAGCATACCGCATAGACAGCTGCCACTTCACTAAGGCTTATGTTGCAACTGCCATCCAATTCCAGATGGGTAGGTGCCTCCTTTCTGTTATGTTATGTTCGGTGCCTAACCCTGTACAGAAATGCAACAACAGAGTGACATGAATATTTAGAGTTCCATATCTTCTACATCATACAACAATCAATCAGATTAATCTTTACAACATGTGCCTGGCCCATTTTACACCTGAGGAAAGAAACAGAGAAACTGTCCACTCCAGTGCTGCAGAGTAAGCGGCATAATTCACCACATGGATTTCATGTATTCTGACTTCCTCCCCCCAAAACTAGACAATGCTGTCTCAGTCCTACTATGCTACTAATTAGGAACAAACCCAAAATTCTCAATCTCTTACACAGATCACAGAGCTATAGACGAACTCAAAATAAATATGTTGAAAGACAGTGGATGTTACTGGTCCCTCTGTCCGTTTCAGACTATGTTGTACTTATGTCCAGTGTGGCTAAATTTTGCCATTTTGTACTTGCTATGAATCAGTGTTTTTACCTTACTTACATTGCTCAATTTTTTTTTTGCAGCCTTAGAAATAGCATTGGGTGGTCGTCTTCACACATAGAAAAGTACTTAGCTCCAAACTAGTGAACTTCAGAATCCCAAGTGAAAAGCAGACAATGTTCATCGAGGTATCTCATTTCGCTTTATCAAACCACCATTATTAAACCGTCCATCTTTAAACAAAGATGCAGAAGCTTTATTTTAAAAGGATTTCATAAAATGTATGACTAATAAAATAATACCTCAGCAAATGGCATTTTTGTTTTGCTTTGTTTTAGGCACACTTGCATCTGACACACAGCTCTTTCCACAGCATCATTCAAAATTCAGAATGGACATAGGCAACAGATGCCCAGAGGACAAACTCTTTCAACCATTTTCCAGGCTGGCCTAAGGCTGTGCAAGCAGGAAGGAAGGATTAAGTATAAATTAAAAGACAGCCAGCTCTAATAGTACACAATCAACATAACAAAAAAGTGCCGCAGACCTTCAGCAGCAGGCAAAGCAGCTCATTAAAAGCAAGCAAACACCTTCTCTTTGGTCCCCTTATGAATTTGTTGGCATAGCCTATGGGGGAGGGAAAAGGTAGAGAGAGAAGGAGGAGAGAGATAGAAGTAGACTGCTTCTGCTTTCTTGGCCCATTGCTCACGCTTCAGGGTAAATAGATCCTTTCTATTAGTGTGCACCTGCATCTGACTGCTTCATTTTGATTCGGTCTCCTGCTGTGAAAATGTAGCTTCTTCCAGCACATACAAACCCTGCCATGCAGCTCAGAAGAAAATTATATTCAGAGATGTGAGCGGTGACCTAAAAATGACAACTGGTCCTCAAAATATCGGATTCCTTTTAAATTCTGTAAGATGGCGTTTTTCTTGTCTCTCCTTTTCATTGCCTAGAAAAGGGGTAATAAAAGTAGTATGTTGACAACTCTGTCACACCACCTTTCTAAATTTCATTGACTGTATACGATATTATAAAAGGAAAACAAGTTTTCTGGAATGGGAGATATATATAGCCCATGAAAGCAGTCTCTCTCTTTTGGATCTTCTGTTGTAAACCTGGGCTTAGGCAGTAAAAGGATGAGGTGTCAGAATCTGGTTTTATTCTGGACTGAGCACAGTGTTGCTAAGGCACTCTTGCCTGTTTTCTTGTGCTCTCTGAAATGCTGTTACCACATGTGCAAAATCCAATTCTGATTCTTACATGGAGCAGTGACCGCAAAGCTGGGGAAGTTGCTACAGCAATATAAAATATTCTATGCAGAACTGGTATTTGAGACTATCATGTAGCATGAGCACTCAAGCAACTGCCTTAATATAATACTGGCAAAAGCTGCTACCCTCTTTTTTTTCAGATGCTCTAACTAAATAAAATTATGGCAAATATCTACAGAAAAAGTCTAAATGAAAAGATCAGCTCAAAATAGGAATAAGAAACATCTGAGAGGGTAAAATATGTTTAAGGTCTTCCCCTCATACCCATAACATTTCACAAACAAAACAAAAAAATAGACAAAGAGTCTACCCTTAAGGAAACTTGACATTTAAAATATAAATATAGGAAAGCAACCTATAAATGCTGATCTTCTAGAACAGAATAAGGCATTTAGAACAATCTTTTTAAAATTTTTTCAATTTCCAGCCAATTTGATGGATTATGGTGGCATGAGTAAACAAATATTTGGGCTCTTTAAATTGTATTGTGCTTTTTTTTCCTAACAAGCTAAGCCTGTGGTGAAGTGAGGTGACCAAGCTTGTAAGAATGATGGTCTTTGTTAGGAAAGGCCATCTTTTATGCTTCTTCTGTGAAAATTATTTAAAATTATTTAAGATTGGCTGTTTTTGTTGGAAGCCAGTCCTTAAGATACACTGCATATTTCCAAGTGATTTAAGCACAATATGAAGTGGCAGTTGCTAAGGCAACAATATGCAATTCCTGTTTCAGTGATCTCTTTTAACAGCTGCATAAGCCCAGACAAGTATCAGTTATATGAGAATTTATAAATCATCTTAGTAAATACCCTATCAAATAACTTCTCCAGAAATTGCTTTAGGAACTTGCAATACCAATCTGTTTTCTCAGACTAAGTCTTGTCTACTCTACGGAAATAAAACTGCTCACCAGTGGATCAGTCAGAATGGTGCTGATGTAGCACAAACCGATGCAATACTGTGTTCAGCATCACCAGCTGTTGGAGAGAATTGCCAGTAATAATAAAAGGCCCTAACATAAGCATCACTTCAGTAAATCCCAAGCAGAACTGCACACTGCTTCCTCATAGCCAAAAGAAAGCAGGAAAAAGTTAGGACTAGATGAAAACACTGGATTCAAGA